TGATTGCTGCATTATTTTGGGTGCTTTAAATTGAATCCCTCTGATACTGTCTTGGTCTCATGTTAAGTGTCATACACTCTCTCTCTCTCTCTCTCTCTCTCTCCCTCTGTTTCGATTTATTCATACTTTCACTTAGGGATGTTCAAAAGTGTTTGACACCATGCGTCATTAATACCATGGCTTAATAATAACTTAAAGAATTCGTAGTCATTTACTTTGATATAGTGCTTTTTTAATCCAACTAGCTTTACCTTTAATATTTATTATTTACTACCATTACAACTGCTATAATACTTGATATAATTATCATCTTCAGCTTCGTACTCAAGCAAAAAGCGACATATACAATGATACGTTTCTTGGGCTACCATCATATAAAATGAAATGGAGAGTATCCACACGCATAGTCCCCTCTTGTAAGGTGGGAATCATTGATGAGAATCCACAGGTAGAGGTAGATAGAGAGAAAAGAGAGAAGTTGACCTTGAAATGAAAACATGTTGAACTAACACGAGAGAGGAGTGGATTTGGGAGGACGGGCGGGTCCTTTGTGAAATTGGGAAGGAATTTCAGGAGTTTTTAGAAAGGAGATGCAATGCGCAGTGAGTTGATGGATTTGTTGGAGCTGGGGAACGCAAATGATGGGCAAAGTGGGACAAGTAAGGCGGACAGTTTAGGATTTTTGTGTGGAAGCTCTTATATGACTTTGTATGCGGGAATTTCAGAATCAATTAAGGGAATAAATTCAGATGAAAGGTAAAAGAATAGCAAGCAAATGCTTGTGCTGTTCGGAACATGATAATTACAGTATTGATCACCTCTTCATCAAGAGTGATCTTCCTAAGGGTTTTGAACCATTTAGAAAAACAATTTTATCCTTAAGGGTTAAATGTTACAAAGACCAATGATCTTAAATATTCGTTTAGATAATTAGGAATCACTACAAGAAAATCTAAAGTTGGAGTAGGAAAGTGCGATTGCCAATTGCCAATTGCCATAGCCTCGGGGCTTATGCTGTGGTTTTCTCTTTTTGGTTGCTTCCCAGAGTGGAGAACTCATTCATATTCTTCTCTCTGCACTATAGCAAGGCTTTTAAGAATTTGTAACTCCTATAATTCTGAATTTTTCCCTTGGTGCTCTGTTGCTCAGGGGCTGGAGAAGCGAAAGACTCTGTAGATGGGAGAAAAGATCCTTTGAAGACCAAAAATGATCTGGATATCGATAAGATCAATCGTGCAGCAGTCACTGCTCTGTCGGCTGCAGCAGTCAAGGCAAAATGTCTTGCAGATCAAGAAGAGGACCAAATTCGGCAGCTTACTACGTCATTAATAGAGAAGCAGGTAATTTTGGCCAGCCAGCTCTTTGACAATTGTATCTTTTTTTGATAACTGTGGTGTCCGGTCTAGCTTGCGTGCACCTCGACTACTAATTCCACGGGATACCTGCCACCTCCCACCCGCAACAGGTGCCTGTATCTTTTGGGCTCCTAATGTTCTATGGGAATCATCCAACAGTTGCAAGCTCTTCACACATTTCTACTGGGCTAGACTTCCAGTCAAACTTGAGACTGATCAGCTAATGCGGTTTAATGCAAGATGTAGGCTGAAATAGATCTTGAGCAATCAAAGCAGCTCTGGATGATTTGTTTGTAATTAAGGAATGGATAATAAGCTGTTTTCCAGTTGGAGTATAAAATGTATTTGTTTTCCTTTAAGAAGAGAAAAAATTATTATGTTGTATAGATGAGTGGTAGACTGTCTCTATCTCTTGGGAAATACATCCTCTATTCTCCCTTCTTTGGTTGAATGTTTATGTTGCTTTACATTGGAGGAATCCTAACCGAGTTTAACCATTGAGGTAGGACTTGTCTGGTCAAGTTTTGATCATACTCTCGCAGGTTATGCCGACTTGATTTTGAGCTGCTTTAAGTTTTGACTCTCTTAGCTTTGCTTTGTCTCAAAGAGTACTCAACCCTTCAAGTTGCTTCTTTGCAGTTACACAAGCTGGAGAGCAAGTTAACCTTCTTCAGTGACATGGATAATGTGGTTATGAGGGTCAGAGAACTGCTGGAGAGGTCAAAACAGAGGCTTATCCATGAGCGTAATCAAATAATTCAATCAAGATATGCCTCTTCATCTCGTCCTGTGCCACAATCACTACTTGCTAACAGGCCTGGAATGACTGCATCTAGGCCGCTAAATGCAATGAGCTCCCAAAGGCTACCGAATTCAAGACCCATAATGGCAGGAATTCCTACACCAAGCTCTTTTATGCCTACAACAGTTACAGGAAATTCAATGCAGCCCTCAAAGTAGGTTAAGCTTATTCAGTTAGAACTAAGTAATATTTTCTCAAGTGCATGTGGATGAACTCATCTAGAAAACAAAAGAGCAAAGAATCAGTCTTCGAGTACCTTTCGTCATGTGAGTATGTGTCTACCCTTTCGTCATTGTTGTCCTCATTAACTTAAACTTGCTAATCTGCAGAAGTTAAAAGTTCTCTTTTTGTATCCAAATTCCAGCTGAAAGGATTGGGTTAGATAATAGATTTTGTTCTATATGAGAAAGAATCTGAGGACTGATAGCTAGAATTCTGGGAACGTGCAAGTTAAATGTTCAAGATGTGGGACCTTGGAAAGAGTGGGGCAATAAGTTGGTAATGGTTCTCAGTCATGAAAGAAAACCTGTTTTTGCATCCTCTAAAGCTTAAAGTTGTTCTTTGTTTCTGCCCCACCTCCCTACTCCCCCTCTTCCATTTGCCTCGTCTAATTCCTTCACATTATTACTTACAGTTCTCCTTTAATTTCTTCCCATGGCTGGTTAAGAAAACTGATTATTCAGACTTCTTGCAGTAACTAAAATTTTGATAAGCTATTGTTCTTTCTGTTCTGTGTTCTAGTTTTTCTTTATGTGGTCTCTATTAAGTTTGATTGGCTATCTGTCTATGGACTCGTTTTTATCTGTCTTCTAACAATGCATACTGGCCTGTGTTTGCTGCAGCAGACACAAGTTGTTACCACGAAACATCATACTTTTTCTTCCTTTTATGGCGATGCTCCGGGGCAACTTGGGCACCTCGAGTAATTTACCGGGTACTGGTCACCTCCCACCAGCATAGATACTTGACAACTTTGCTTGCCAAGACTTAGGCATATAAGAATAATTCATATAGAGTCACTCTTGCTGATATTCAAACCTTGGTTTTCAAGGTTGGCAATCCAGCTTTTCACCCATTAGGCTACCCCATGGAGTGTACTTTAATTCTTATTGAACTACTAGACTTATCTTCCGTGAAAATAGACTATCCTGTCAACATTTTATTCGGATCTTGCTGGATTCCAGGTTTAAATTCACCAAAGCTGCAAACATTTCTGGGCAATGTCTCCTTTTTTGTCAATTTGTCAACTGAAAGTGGACAGGTTTTCTCAAATTTTCCACAATTAATTATTTTGTTAAATTCATTTCCAACCTTTCAGTCAGGACATATTTGTTCAATATTTAGCTTGATTGAATATAAAGGATTGGGGGGATCTGATGGATCTAAAAGTAGGGTAAGTAATTTGTCGACCTTGTTATAAATGCTTAAAACCCATTTCACTTTGCTTAGACATGCTTTTGAATCTATTTTGATGCTTATATAGACAGTTTAATTAACTATGTTACTCAAGGGTTTGGCCTTTGTCTTTGGTTCTGTAAATGGAGCTTCTTATGTTATTAAAAGGATTTTTCTGTTCACTGATCTGTTTTGCAAGTACTGCTAAATTTTCGGACTGTGAACAAGCCCAGTATAATTGTAAAATGTGATCCATCCAGACAGCGTTTAGAGTAGTTTTCTGGCCAAAATTACATTTCAGAATTCTCAAGTTATCATTATGGTGAAATTTTTAGAGATATTGGCTCCTTTTCCTCCTGTTCGCAGCTGCAGTTCTCTATTTATTTACTTCATTTGGTTATAAAAAGAAGCTCTGGTTCTCTATTTTCACAACCGAGCAGTTGCCAAGTTTTGTTTGGAAGAGGTAGTTGCTCCATAGATTAATTTAGCATTTGTTGTCACGTGTTAATCAGGTTCTGGCGACAGTGAAATTTAGGATTGGCATCTGCTAGTTGTTCCGTTGCTGGAAAACAAAGTTTATAGATTGGACTGGACAGCAAAATATAAGTGGTTTCTAGTGCATTATAAACGTGAGATCTTTTATGCTTCTATGTATGGAAGTAAAGTGTTCACTTTGTTATCTTTCACCTGCGACATTCATTGCGCACCTCCCGACAACTTCCTGATTTGACATCTAATAGACAATATGATGCTACTTCAATTAACCAGGTGTTCTATTTTAAAGATGAATGTGTGGTTGCTGTGCATCGTTTCCCTTCTTCTATTCTAGTGTATGATGATGGCTGTGATCAGCAAATTTTATTGCTTATTAAAACTGCTTCTCTTGGTGTCTAATGTTTTACACAAAGCCAGTGTACTAATCTTATGGTTAGTGTCTGTACCGTCATCAAACAGTGTTGGGTTCTCTTTAGACTGCCCCTTTGCGGTTTAGGGGTCGTTTGGTACCTGGGATAGGGATAAAGTTTGGGATTAACTTTATCCCATATTTGGTTGGGGGTATTAGCTAATCTGGGAATAACTCACACTATAATGGTGAAATTAGTTATCCCATATAGAAGGTAGGATATCCCACCCTATGGGATATCCCACCATTGTACCAAACAACCCCTTAATGTTTTGTTTTTGCAGACTAGTTTAAATCAACGTTAATCTTGGCTCAACTATTCTCACCTATAGTTAGTACTGAGCCTCCACGCAGCGAAGGACCTGCATTTTGTGTTACTATATTGCTCTTTGTAGATAGCCCTAAAACATATTTGTGGACACCAGTCTCAAGTCCCTAAAGCTGTTGCAACCACTCCAATTATTTCATCATTTGGATATCATATATGATATATGTGAAGCGCATGCTTCGTAAACTAGTATTAGTTCAAGGTAAAGCAAACTAATAAATGAATATGGCCTCTAAAATTATTAGCAAGCAAAAGTTTGCATCAGAGATGCGTACATCCATCCATCAAATCTTAAAGGTTCACCAAAGTAATAACATAAATAGCACCAACGGAGTTCGAGCATTCAAGGAACCAACCAGCTCCCCCTTGTAAAGTTAATATACAGGTACAACTTGATAATTTACCGAGAAAAACACACCAAGTGAAGCAAACAATAAAACGAGGGTTAAAAGGAATCCAAATCTTCGCAGCTGCAAGATCTATTATCAGCTCAAAAATGACGAACTGGTTAACACTCGCATCCACCTGTCCTCGGCTGAGTGCTAGCACCAACATCAATGGTGTCGGGCAAGTATCTTCACCGTACAAAAGTTGAGGCAGAGTAAAAAGCAAATTAGTATCATGATTATGGTGAAGATAATAAATTAATAAGTATCTTATACTGAAACTAATTCTAATCGAGTATAAATCTAGCCAAGAAGAGTTGTGATTGGTTCTACAAATCACAGTTCCCACTTTTACCTCCCTAGTTTCCCAAATAATGTGCCACATTCTTTTCAGGTCGTCTCAAACTGATGTGACCCTTTCTTTGGAAGATAGAGATTTTTACCTTTATCTTGAGCAGTAGAATGTACTATTAGAATCTTATGGTCAATTACCATAGATACCGGTGAAAAAAAAATAGTATAGATAACGTTCCACCAACTTACATTTCTTCTTCCTCCCCACTCTTCAGGGCATTCTTAGCAATGCATTGGAAAGCCTCTTCTACATTGGTGCCTTCCTTGGCTGAAGTCTCAAAGTAGGGAATGTTACCCTTCGAAGCGCACCAGGCCCGAGCCTTTTTCTCAGACACCTAAATAAAGCAGAGCATCTTTCATGAAAGAGAAGAATATAACACCTCCATGGAACTAGTCCTCCAATAGGAACTATAGTAGTCCTATTAGAAGCTTACCAAGAAAATGGAAAGGTGAGAGCAAGGGACAATGAAGGAAAAAGAGGGAAATTTGGACAATATACTATTTGTTGGACCAGAAACTTACCACTCTACTATTTCCACCATCAATATCAACTTTGTTCCCCAGTACAACAAATGGAAAATTTTCTGGATCGGATGGGCTTGCCTGCAGCAAAATTCAATATTCATTCCAGATTACTGAGTAGTTGTCTAAAGAGGAAAAAATAGCTCATAAATGGTCGAGATACCAAAAGGCTAATATCATCATTTTTAACATCAATCTGCATGTAATTTCTAGGCATAAAGATTTAAAAAGAAAAACAGGAAACTGCTGGGCTCCAACAAATACAAGCAGCATAACTCATTTTTAACATCAATCTGCATGTAATTTCTAGGCATAAAGATTTAAAAAGAAAAACAGGAAACTGCTGGGCTCCAACAAATACAAGCAGCATAACTCATTTTTAACATCAATCTGCATGTAATTTCTAGGCATAAAGATTTAAAAAGAAAAACAGGAAACTGCTGGGCTCCAACAAATACAAGCAGCATAACTCATTTTTAACATCAATCTGCATGTAATTTCTAGGCATAAAGATTTAAAAAGAAAAACAGGAAACTGCTGGGCTCCAACAAATACAAGCAGCATAACAAAAGAAGGGAGAACCACTGCAGCAACTCATGAAAGATGAAGCATAACAAGATCCATGAGGATTGAGGGAAAAGCTCATAATTTCTTCATCTCACCACAGGCAAATAGGGCTAAAAACAGTTAAATGTAAGGAGGTAACAAAGAATAAAAATTATTATAAAACCTGGTGAGCGATCAGTAGAAGCAAACAAAGAAGAAATACCTGAATTAGAAACTCTTCTCTCCAATTGTTTAAGTTTTCAAATGACTTCATTGAATTTACATCATACACAAGGACGCAGCAATCAGCACCACGGTAGAAGGCAACACCAAGACTTTGAAATCTCTCTTGGCCAGCTGTGTCCCAAATCTGGACCCACCAGAAAAACGAAGTTAGAGCAGGAAGCAGACCAGGTTGACCTGTCCGTAATTAAAACATAAAAATTGGTAATACATCCACCCATTGCCTCTCCCAAGTACCAAACCTAATACTTGCAGATGTTTGAAATTATGGCATCATTTTCTAGCTAAAAGTTCATTGAAATTACTCCAGATATCAGAACTTATATGAACCAAAGAGTAGATCAAAGGAGGAGGAGGAGGAGAGAGAGAGAGAGAGAGAGAGAGATGAAACGTTGACAAAGCAAGACCTGGACTAGATACACACAGAATACTCTAGGTTGGATATTTTCAGAAATAAAAAAGAAATCTGCAAGGCATTGCTTACTCTATCCTTTTCACTGCAGTGGATCCTCAGACAAAATTGAACCTAACTGAAGAACAGAGATGGGATTACTTGGATAAAGGAGAGAAACACCGTATATCAAATTTAGGTCCTTCTTTTCTATAAATTGGAGAGGGAGGAGGGGGGGGGGGGGTTCAGGTAAGCTATTGTGATATTTGATGTAGTTGAATGAGGAAAACATATTGGGAGTGAAGACATAGTATGGCCCACTTCTCTGTTGCTGTTAAGTCCTCCATGTTTCCTGTTTATACATCATAGATTGAGATTTGACTTGTTTGGTCAAACTAATGTTCTCCTATACCAACCCCCCTCCCCCCACACACACAAAAAAAAAAAAAATCAGTTCTTCCCATTGCCAGCTCAGACTATTACCTTGTCAAGACCTCATAAACATTTAAGAATAATCGTGTCTGGTATCATTCGGGAAGGGCAGTTCAACTATAAAAGCTAAAACACAAGGTAAAAGAGAGTGGAAGGTGAAACATCAAGAAAGAAATTGAGACCAAGCATTGAGAAACTTGTATGTTTATGTGAACTTGCACTAGTTACCTTTCATTGGCGGAACTTGCAAATGGTCACTAATTAAATAGCCATGAGAATGCCCGTCAATGCAAATTATGGACTCCCATCTCAGAAAAATGCTTAGTTATGGACTTGCGATTATTTAAAAAAATAGGGGACAGAGGAAATATCATTCTTGAGAGAAATCATGCTCTTGTGAAACATTTAAACCTAATCCATCAACGATACGTGCTTAATAACCAAAAAAGCCCATCACTGACACAATATCATCTGCCACATGCACAGAATATTTCTAGAAGATCAGTGCATACAGATTACTACTATCTTCTTATATCCAAAAGAAATGCCCTAACTTAGAAAACAGCTTAGTCCATGATGTAAACCATCCACTTAACTAAACTCTACTACATTGCGTTATAACCCAGTCACTCATCCAAAGTAAGATAAAGTCCTATATGGGAACTTTTTGCCACAGGGAGTGGAGTCATTGCTATACCTACACATATATTAATAGAGATAAATGGGCCCCAGATCACACTTAAGAGACCAGCATTTTTTAAAACTGAGAAATCCCCGAGATTCAGTTGCGCATCATTCGAAACTCGATGAATAATGGGGATGCCCCTTTGCCCTTCTCTATTTAAGAAACCAAAATTTGACTCACAAATTTTCTTTTCCAGTGGTTGGCTAAGAGAATTTATACGTATGCCATTTACCAAGTCACCAATTAACCTCCCTTTCCTCNCGATAATAAAAGTAACAACAGCTCAAGCAGAAGAATTCAAGGATAATAATGCTGAAATATGGATGTATATACTTGTATCCTTATTTCAAGATATTTAAAAAGGATAAAATCCTATTGGTCAACTCAGAAAGCAATTCCATTCCAGTTCCTACGTTCTAAACTCCTACTTAGTAAACAGCAGAAGTCATTATCGTCCTCTATTAGAGCAAACAAGCCATCCTAAGAGGCCAAACACTATCTTTTCAATCTCTAATTCTGTGGCCGAAAAATTGACAGTATCCATATAGGAAGTAAAGGGAGAGGCATACGGTAGCAACTAGAATGCACCATTAATGAATTTGGTCGCCACATCTTCAACTAATTGACAATGTCACATCTCAAGAAACTGGTGGTAATCAACCAATATCAAGTCTATATCTTTAGTAACAACTAATAACTTCAACATCATGATATTTACTATATTTCAAAATTTCATTATTCCCCGACTGGAACTTCACTAGATTTTTTTTATGGGTCTGGAATGTCACAAGATTAGCATTATTGATCATAATCTTTTTGATATCTACTGTCTCTATTCCTCCCTCAATCTTGAGTTGTTAGAAGGAATCACTGATGAGTAAAGGAATATAGAAGACCTAGGCAGTGAAAATTTGATATGGAAAATCATGACTTGGTGGATTTATATGCCAATAGACAGCAATAAGACACCATATGACAAACCTGTAATGTAAAGAGCCGATCTTCAAACTGCACTTCCTTTGTCAAGAAATCAGCCCCAATAGTTGCTTTGTACTGATTGCTGAACTTTTTATTTACATATCTATAAAGAATCATTTAAGGCAGACAATTCGGCAATTCAACTATAAGGTACAATCACATCTGAAAAGTGAATCGAGCCGTTTCTTAGTAATCTTGAACTTGTTATTAATTGAACAAACTCTAAGAAAAAATTAGGTAACAGAGCTTTCGAGGATACTGATTCATCAACGACGTCTTCCCAACCCTGCAAAACACAAAGAGAAGTGATTTATGGTCATATAATGAAATTTCAGCAACTTGCGGAACTTAGATCACGATAAATCAAATAATAAATCAACTCAGCCTCAATTGTCAACTAGATAGACACTATTGCATGAATGAATTTATGAATCCGATGTAACGATTCCGCTCTATCCCAAACTTAGATCACGATAATAAAAAATTCAAATTAAAATTCAAAAAACAATCTATTAACATGCTAATGATAACTTAATAATTGGCAAAATAAACATTTAGTGCGCTGACTCATGCGTTACTGAACCCTAGAATACAACGAATAGGAGAAAGCTGAAATATTTAGAATCTGAATTTGACAAAAAAAAAAGTGTGATGTAGGAGAGAACTTACCCGCTATCACCGAGGATGATGACTTTCAAAAGAGTTCGCCGGCGTGAAGGCATATTCGGCGGACTTCGATCTGACGAAACGAGACTAAATTCAGAAAACTCCGCGCCTGTGTGTGTGTGTGGCGTGAGGAACACAGACAGTTGGCAATTTTAGACGTTTCTAGTAGAATTGATGATTGATGCCCAGTAGTTGTTATTGAGCATAATATGTACTACTCCCTTCTTAGCTGGACTCGACAGTCAACCGACCTTTTCTACGCCTGCTTTTTTGGGCTTCGATCGGGTCTGTCGGGTCGGGTCGAGTTTGGGCTCAGTATTTTTGAATGATGATTCCTATACTCAATCATTAATGCTTTTGTAAATTCAAATTTCGGATAAAGGTACTAATCTTTACGAATCTCTTGAAATCATTATAATTCTTAACTTATGTTTCAAAAGATTATTTTTGAAGGATGATTCCTATAGATGCTCAATCAATAATGCTTTCATAACTTGAAATTTTGGATAAAGGTAATATTTACGAATCTTTTGAAATCATTATAATTCTTAACTTATATTTCAAAAGACTTAGTTCAATTTTTTGTTTCGAAAAATATAAATTATAAAAAAAATTAAAAACATTATTACTGTTAATTTTTGTAATGACAAGTTCTAATATTGGATGATAAGCCACATGAGCAATGTTGGATCTATGTGTTGAGTTATGGGTGCTTGAGCGCCCATTACTTTTGGAACCACACTAATATCTCTATAGAAAAATTAGTAATTCATACAAATATATTAGTGGAGTACCTAGTCTCGGTATTAATTTCAAGATTAAAAATAGTTAATTTCACATTATTTAAAAATTTTGAATATGTCACTGCATCTGAGGTTGTTTTTGGTCTAGTTAGAAAGCTTACAATACATATCTCTGATTGCAGTTTTCTTTTTGATGTCGGAGGCTTGATGCGGTAGAACACATATTTCGGGAAGGCAATTATGTTGCAAATGCACTGGCTAAATATGGAAGAAATTTGACCCTAGCTATTGCGGAAATGAACAACACTATATTCCGGGAAACATCTCCAAAATTCATTTTAAATGCTTTCAATAAAAACAAATCGAAAAAGGTTGCTATGTGATCTCTATCCATAGGTTGTAATAACTAAAATTCTGTTTTTTCTCCTTCTAGTAATGAAGTATTCCTTTCTTTAGAAAAAAAAATAAAAAATAGAAAGCTTAGGTGGTATTATCGTGTGAAGTAAAACTTGTTGTTCCCGGTCAATATTCCTGTATTTGTAAATATTAATTCTGCAAAATATAAGTTAACGTAATGAAACAATAATAATAAATTCGAGCCCACTGAATTCACAGTGTTTCCTTAAGGAATTTAATCCCCTCCTAGTACCCAAGGTAATGGATTATTTCCTCCCAGGATAGAACGAATAACACACTGGTGTAGCGGTACTTCAAACCCCAGTGTTTCGGCGAACACAAAGTTCGGTAGCAAATCACACTTACAGTTGCTTTGTTTGAAGTTTAAAAACAATGCAGAACAAAGGAGGAGATACTCAGAAAATCGAATGGAAATGCTGAGAGGAAGGAATGCAATGTATAGCTAATTGTATGTTGAGTTTTGTATGTTCCTTCAACATTGCTGCTCATTTATATAGCAACCAAGAAGGAGTGCAAGACCAAAACGTCCACCCTTCATGGTGGAGCAAGCATTAAGTGTTTGTGGAGCAAGCACTTCATGGTGTGTGGAGCAAGCACTTCATGGTGGGAAGACCATTATCCGGCTGCCAATTATCAATACACGGATTGGAAAATATCCGTTACAAATACGGATAATCTTACGTTAATATTTACTATTAACAAATAAATTTGGTCCAAAAAATTAATCAATCAATCGATCATTTGACCAAATCCAAATCCAAATCCGAATCCGAAGCCGAAGCCGAAGCCGTAGCCGTAGCCGTAGCCGAGCCGAGCGAGCGACGACGACGACGGCGCGAGGCTTGCTTTCTTCTTAACTCTTTAAGAGCTACAAGAAGAGCAATTATATATATACCCACCAAAAATGTCTTCCACTTCCAATATGGGACAATGTCTCATTGTTAAGAGGGGGAAACTTAAAATTTTACTCAAAATTTCATTTTCCCTCCATTTCACATTCACCCTCATTTTAAGAATATTACATCTTAAAATAAAACCTCAACAAAACTTTAAAAGTAAAGTAATCATTTAAGTTGTATCTCTAGTAAATGACTTGAAACTAGTATAGACTCTCGGCTCCCTCCCTCCAAGAACTCTTCACCTTGTTCTTGGGGTGATTCGAATTCGCAACCTCTTGATTAAAAGTGAAGGGTGATCCCCACTAGAGTAACTCACTTCTTATTGGTAAATGACTTGAAACTGATTTTATTAATTCTAACTATGTATGTGGTTGACAATTTGCATGGAACAGTAGAGCGAAAGAAGTGGAAAGAAAGTCACATGTGCGGTAAAATTACTTAGATCAAAAACCGTATAATTAAATGAGTGAAAATATGGTTGTTCATTTAATTTGACAAATAAGAATACATAGTCAATGCTATTTAAATCGTATTCAAGGTCTTTTCATAAAAATTAGCCTTATAATTAATGAAATATATATGCATTAACTAAAATGTATTGATTTTTATGTTCAAATGTTTAGTAATTAGTTCCCTCATTTTAGGAGGAGTATGAGGATGGAAAAGCAGCTCTTAGTTTCTCCGTAAAAATTATTACTCCATGCAACATGTTTTTACTCTTCTTCCTTTGAGAATCCTCACTGCCCTTCTCCTAAAGGTATTCACATTTTCTCCTCATCTCATCTCTCTTTTTTCTTCTTCAAAATTTCATATATTTAATCTTTGTTTTTTTAAATACAATATCATCTTTTTATATCATTTTTGTGATACAATGACATGAAGTATCGATTCTGTATTGTAATAATTTTCATTTTTATGAAAGAAATGATAATGTTTCAATAATGGAATCTCATTGAGTATCGTTAGTTTCACGTTTTATTGTTATTGAGATCATTCAGTATGGTTAGTTTCATGTGTTTTTTTTTTGGGTTAAGTACTCTTATGATTTCTTGAATGATGATTGATAATTGTTTACTAAAGTAAAATTTATTTTGGAATGAACAGGGATCAATACTTGGGAGATCGGCAGAATTTGCGTAACTTGTTCTAACGCAGATTGTGACAAAGACTTTTATTAAAATGTCTTCGTCATCATCTGAGGAATCTCCACCGTCAGATTCTTCATCTTCAAATTCACCACCATCAGATTCATCATCTTCAAATTCACCACCATCTTCCTCATCATCTCCACCAAATAATTCAAATTCTCAATCTTCTCCTTCTAAAAATAATTCATCATCTGGAAACGACAATAGCTCCTCTTCTTCCGGTGATAACAATAATAATAACAATAACAATAACAATAATAACACAAACTCTCAATCTCCTCCTTCTAACGGTAACAACAATAATAATAATAGTAATTCAAACTCTCAATCTCCTCCTTCTAACGGTAACAACAATAATAATAATAGTAATTCAAACTCTCAATCTCCTCCTTCTAACAATAACATCGATAATAATAATAATAATAATTCAAACTCTCAATCTCCTCCTAACAATGACTCTTCGTCTGGAAAAAATAATAATTCCTCTTCAAACAATAACAACAACAGTAATAACAACAATAATAACATTGATAACAACAATAACAACAATAATAATCATAATAACAATTCTGACAACAAGTCACTGCCTCCACCAAAATCATCGGATTCATCAAAAGGAGGTTCATCGGCTCATTCGCCGCCACCTCCGTCGCCGCCACCCCCTCCACCATCACATAATTCTCCTAACTCTAGATCTCTTGCCCCTCCAAAGCATCCCTCAACAAAGTCAGATGCTAAAGATAACAAAACAGCACTAAGGGTAGGAGTTGCTGCTGGAGCAGGACTATTGTTTCTTGTTATGATAGTTTTCCTCATATCTTGTTGCAAACGAAAAAAGAAAAGGAAGCATGCTCAAATTGGCTACTACAGAGACAATTCTCACGGAGCCATGAGTATAGATCTTACTTTATTTTTTTTTGTTATCTTAATTAATTGTGTGCTTTCGACATAATATATTGCCTTAAGGAAAATAACACTTCATACATTGGTAAAAAGATCTAAAAGTGCAATTACTGAACACCAATTTGGTTTATTAGTACACAAGCACAACATGTAAGATGAAAAATTGGCTCTTGTTCTTTCATTTTTTTGCGTTCTCTGCTTTGCCCTACTTTTTATTTGGTTGTATCATATTAGATGAATTAATTCTTCCATCCCAAATTCAACATCTTGTTCACTTTTGAATGTCAACCCATTTATCCTTGATCAATAATGTTTGTGTACATCTGTGATATTTTTAAAATGTAAAATTTTATATTGCCTTACTTTTCGGGTAAATTTTACATATCCAAATTACTGTAAATCATTTTGTGATTCTTGTCACCTTACTTAAAATAACATCTTTTTTAGAGTCCAACGTTGAAAATGGAAGTGAAAAATTAACTTTTTAATCCACTTTTTTCTTAGAAATTACTTGTGCATTATGTATATGTTTAATAATAGGCTGGTTCAGCCTATTATTAAGAGTTACAATTTTAATTGAAACTAGCTTATGTTAACGATGTTTAATTAAAATTAAACACTTTCAATACAATTGATAATAGTGCTTGTCCACAATGCTACCTCCAAAATTCAGGCAATCACTTTTTTAATGATATCACGACTTTAAGTCTTCTTCTTGTTGCTGTTCTTCTATATTCATATTTCTTTCTTTATCAATTTCTAACGTTAATTATGTAATTTACAGACAGTCATCACTACTATAATAACAGTGGACAACATGGGAACAATTGGCAGAATAACAACAAACTCCAATCTACTGATCAGTTTGGCAAAATGCCTCCTAGTGCACAAGTAAGCTCAGAACACAGTTGGCCAATTGCGCCGCCGCCGCCGCCACCAATGATGAGTAGTAGTGAAATGAGCTCCGCAGCTTTCTCTGGTCCACATCAACCTCCTTTGCCACCTCCACATCCAGCAATGGCTCTTGGTTTTAACCAAAGCAGTTTTACTTATGATGATTTAGCAGCTGCAACTGGAGGATTTGCTAAGGCTAATCTTTTAGGA